TAAACTGATGATCTATAATCCGGAAAAATCGATAATCCGGAATCGGCGAATTCCCAACGAGTCCGGATTAACGACTTTTGACTGTATTTGGAAAGTATGGTTGATCTTTACATTATGGTAACTTGGCGTTTTTTTGGCGAAAATTTGGCGACCAACTCTCCTACAGCAACCCTCTATTTTTTTTTTCCCGCCGCCATTTTGTCTTCACGAAATAAAGACATGTTTCTTTTCTTTTTATCTACTGAACACTTCTTCCAACAATCTACTAGCCGAATTACACTTATGCTAGAAATTTTATCTAACAAAACTGCTTAATCATGACAAATATTCACTGCAAAATTGGGAAAAAGTGCACAATACCATACTCCTTACGCGTTTTTCAAGAATAACACATACACATAAACCATGTACACGCCGACTTATTTTTACTTAAAAAAACATCCCAGAATTGCACAAAAATGGCATTGCGCACACTCTTCACTATATCCATGTACACTGCTTTTTCTCATAAATTAGAAAAATTTCACGAAAATACATGACAATTTGCTCAATCTTTAAACCCGGTAAAAAGAACATATATGAAATTACCTGATCGCGAAAAAGTATTTACCCTTTCCAAATATGAACATTTCCACATATAAAATAAATAAAATATCCAAAAACTTTTACCTCTAAATCATCTATTACATTATACACGTCACCAACGAATTCATACCGCAAGCATTACAAATACTTAGTATCAAATATTTAAATTATTTCCATGCACGTTTACTTCAACTTAAACGTATACCAAATTCCTACAAACATAAAATTCACAAAATAACTATCATTTAATTAAAATATCACTAAACCATGTACACGTCGACTTATTTTTACTTAAAAAAAAATCCCAGAATTGCACAAAAATGGCATTGCGCACACTCTTCACTATATCCATGTACACTGCTTTTTTCTCATAAATTAGAAAAATTTCACGAAAATACGTGACAATTTTCTCAATCTTTAAACCCGGTAAAAAGAACATATATGAAATTACCTGATCGCGAAAAAGTATTTACCCTTTCCAAATATGAACATTTCCACATATAAAATAAATAAAATATCAAAAAACCGTCACCAACGAATTCATACCGCAACCATTACAAATACTTAGTGTCAGATATTTAAATTATTTCCATGCACGTTTACTTCAACTAAAATGTATATCAAATTCCTACGCACATGAAATTCACAAAATAACTATCATTTAATTAAAATATAATTAAATTCAAAAACACTACTTAAAATATAAATGAGCACATACATTAAATTAATAAAAATTACCTTACAATCCTAATTACTTTAAACTAAATCATTGCTAATAACAATTTTCCCAATAATACCAAATTCCTTTACTTCCACCTTACATTTAGAACAATGCATAAAAATAATATCCTCAAATAATTAAAAATACTAACTTACCTAATCTTCTTCAGAATCTGATTACGATACGTGTCCGATAAACTTTTCTTCTTTCTGTTTCAGGATCTTTAAAATCATACTTATATTTCACAGCAAGGTACCAGGTAAAATAAATAACTTAATAAAACATCTTTATTTCTATCTCGCACAACCTTAAAGAAACATTTATTACTACCCTTTTCAATACCACTAAATACCCATTTCGAATTCACTTTAGTTATGGCCATGGGATCCAAAAATTCACAAACGCTGTTTCACACCACACAGAATAAAGCCAAATACAAAATTTCCAGATTTTTTCCCGACTTCCCCCCTTTTCCGATTAAAGAACCGTAATTCGTCCATTAATATCACATGACATATCCCATGATCTCTCATTTCCCTCACACAAAATAATGCATAATCGGAACTGAGTAATGCTCACATTATTACCAAAGTCCCAGGTAGTAACCTTTATCGCCTCCAAAATGTCGCCAAACTACCAGTTACCATATTGTAAAGATCAACCAAAAGTATTTCGGACATAACACCAAGAGACTATGTGAATGTTGACATTCACCGGTGAGAGTCGACATTCTCCAGATTTCGGTGTTTCACCGTAAAAATGTTTTTCATCATACATAATAATAAATCCATAAATTTCCAATGTTTGAATATGTAGCATTTACAATAAAAGTATAGTTTCTAATGTACTTATAATCCAAAAAGTACTTCATTAATAACATGAAAATAATAAACAAATTTAATGAGTATTCTTATTATTACATAAACTATGCTTTTCTTTTTTTATGCATCATTTATGCTGTTTAAAATGTCTCACTGATTATGCAATTAACAATTTAAAAGATAAGTAATTAGAAGAAAAGCCGCACAGATACAAACATATTTTAAAAAATTATTCATTTTAAATTTAAGAAATAAAATTCTATTATATAACATTGATAATACACAATCAGCACAAAATACGACAAATTTGGCAACTTTTGGCGACGAACAATTTGTAAACAAATCCGAACTGCAAGAACGTCGTAAAATACTGTCAACTCTGAAATTTCCACGATTATATATTTAATGAACATATAAATATTTTTAAAATAACTCACGCAATTATATTACAACAAAACAGCAATAATTAAATCGGCCTCTATTTCCACTGTCCATGACTTCACAGTGAGAGCCATTGCCATATTGAAAGTTACCCGTGATCCATCAGAAGCAGAACTTTCGTCTGATTGGTTGAACATATGAGGAACACATCTCCAGATGGTCCCCTAAGGGGACCTTTTAACGTCGCACTAAAGCGACCAATAATTTTCTTCTCCTCCTTCAGTGTATAACACTGAACTGCTACTAGAACCTGCCCAACGGGTTTCACCCCAGCCCTTTTTGCCCAACTCTCCGGATTGCTTGTCCTAAGGATTTTATTTTGCTGTTGATATCAAGAATCGAGGAAATGTATTGCACCTTTTTATTCTTTTCAAAACTTTTTGAATGTTGACTCCTCTCTCAAAATTTATCCCTGGCCCTTTTTAAACACAAAATTTAATTTAAAGACTTTCTAAAAGTTTTCCTTTTTTTTTCCCCCCTCATGCGGAAGGCATTATCTGAAAAGCTTTTATTTTTATAATTAGGCTTCAAAATTTTCCCTTATTAGATGAACCCCTCTTTTGATGTAATTATTCTATCTCTGATGATGTGGAGTTAAAGGCCTAGCCTAGTGCACTCCGTAAATTAACTTCCTTGATCCTTGATCTCCAGATGGAACATTTTCGGGAAAGTTTAAAAATGTTGCTCATAGCCGGGACATGTTGCGCCTAGCTAGATGAAACATTTCTCGGAAGCCTCCTGCTTGAAGCAGTGCTACTAGAATCTTGTTTCTCGGAATTGTCTCGTGTAGCCACGCACGTCCCTAGAAGTGATAGCCTCTGTAAGGAGATCAGTTAATGGTTGAGCAATTATGGAAAAGTTCAGAATAAATTTACAAAAATATCTGGCAAAACCAAGGAAACTTGTTTCAAATTAGTCAGTTCTAGAAAATTAAGGACCACTTTCGTTTTTAAAGTGGATGGAAAAACTTTACCTTTATTAATAACATAACCCAAAAATTAAATTTGCTTACTCAAAAAGCGAGATTTCTTGAAATTAATCTCAAGCCCTTATTCACTAGCAAGCTTTAAGACTTGCTCATGCTGTTCGTTTCCTTCTTCTAGGGAGGACAACAAGATCATTCCATCATCCATATATGGCAAAACAATACCATCATTAATTAAAGGTTGAAAAATAGTGTTGATGTGCCTCTGAAATATAGCCAGAGAACTGCACAGTCCAAAAGGATCCTTGAGAAATTAATATTGACCTTCGTGTGTTACAAATGATGTGTACATTTTACTATCCTTGTTTACGTAAACATAGAAAAACCCATTTTTAAGATCCATCATACTAAACACATGTCATCTGTGCAACCGATGCAGAATATCTTCAATTAATGGGAGAGGAAACTTGTCCTTTACTATTAATTTATTCAATCTCCTATAATCAATCCATAAATGGGGTGTTCCATCTTTTCTTTTAAACATTACAACTGAGCTACAATATTCTGAAGAACTAGGTTTTACTATTCCTTGTGCTAATCATTCTGCTACTTGAACTTCAACAATTCTTTTTTCTGAAAATGGTAACCTATGAGCCAGATGAAATATAGGTTCATTATTTTCAGAGTAAGCTATTCGTACGAACTGAAACAATTCTTGGGTTTAAACTTGTATTTCAAATTAAGATTTAACTTTAAATTAGTGTAGATAATTACTGAGAGAATTAGATTTTTGTAGCATAGTTTACATGAGATGAGATCACTTGGGGTCACGTGATGTGAACCGGCGAATCAGGGTGTTGTACCATGAAAGCATAGTAAATTCTTAAATTAATGTGTGTTTATAGATTTATCGTCTTTATGTATTGGCTTTTTTACAAAATTTTAAAGAACATTAAAATGTTTATACCTTCAAAATAAAAAATTCTTAGAACTAACATTTGTCACCATTTTTTATGTGTATACTGTGTGTTGCCGCCAATAAAGTCTGCTTCACGAGATTTGCACTAGTGAAACGGAAAAGTACCCTTATCTGTCCATAAACAGATCATTTCTAATTCTATTTTCCATCCTTAGATGGCCCTCTTGCTTTACTTCTTACCATTATTTTCCCTTTATAAGACATCCCTGGAAAGTTTTCAAAAATTTTTCAGGCTCCCTTTCTGTTAGTAATGCTTGTCTTTTATTTAGCTGTTGCTGAAAGCACTCTTGCTAAAATAAAATCTATGTCAATTAATGCTGCTTTGCTTACCTTCAGTTTGTTCTTTGACATATCTTTCTTTCCCAAAGTCAATCCATTATCACCCACATTTTAAATTATGACTATGTAAAAGAAAAATACAGTAAGCAGGTTCTGCAAATTAAACATAATTTACAACAAATATGCATTATCAATTACTTATTTTACCAAAAGATACTTAAAAAGCACCATAAAATAGCAAACATTTACTTCTTTCTTCAGCATCCACTCTTTTCCTCAAAACGCCCTTTATTCATATTAAAATTGATCTTTAAATAGTGTTTCACTTAGCGAAGCACCAATCAGTTATGATCTATGACCACCCTTTCCATATTCTAAATGATGAACAACCATTCCTAAATAAATATTTAAAACTTTCTTAACTTATTTGCAATTTTAGTACAGTATGACTAAAATATAATATGCTAAAGCAAAATAAAATAGTTAATATAGGCACCTATGAAATGCACAAGCATAGTAATTTTTCATTGATTGGGAAGGAGGATTTTAACTAAAATGCAAAATTATTACAATAAACTACGAGTAAATAAAAATATTTCTTGGAATTACACATAAAAATAACTAGATAAGATATTTAATAAACATAAAAATAACTAGATAAGATATTTAATAAACAGAAAACCACAGTAGTAAAATTTATTGCATATGGATAAATGCAAAAATATAAGATATTCTATTCAAACATAATTCCACAACAAATGCATTTCTTATTTATAACATATACACTCATTATACAAACAGAGCTTATCCATAGAATAAACATGAATGTTACTTACTCCCTTTGTGAACTAAGCATTTACAATATAGAATCATCACATAAGGTAAGCAGAGTAAAGGTCTTGAATAACCAACAACAGTGAATGTTCACCAAGATTACTACTTGCAGTTTAAGAGAATTCTCATCTTTTGAGTATATGGTTACTTTAGATAACGCAACAATAAACAATGGCAATTATCGAATTGCACAGTGGATTTATCCTGTTTAAGGCTTTTGGTATCTTCTTTTGATAATAAAATTTAGAATTAATATATTAAGATAAGTAATGAATATGCTAGCAAAAATAAATAACAAATTACTTTATTTCTAATTTTGTTAAATACTTAGAATATAGAAAACATATAGTTTGTGTAAAAGAAAAACTAAGTTAAATAAATAACAACTTTTATTTTGTTATTTAAAACACATTCACCCTACTCATTAAAATATTTATTCATCCTCTAAAGTCTACAGTCTCCCTCAAATTACTAGCAATAGCTTCAGTAACTGTACCTAATAGGTAAAATTTATTCTTGCAGTTGAAAATGTTTTAATCTCTGGTTGGACATGCATGGGACAAGATATACATGGTATCCACTGCACATGCTAAACATCAAAATCAACATGACTCACAGCACAAACAAAAATGAACTGCTCTCAGTACCATTTTCAGATTATTATAAAACACCAGGTGCTCAGACAGGTGGAAAAGTGTAAACACAAAAGAGATGTGATACATCATTCAAGATTAGCTGTTCTAAAATTCAAAGTAAACTTAATACAGAACAGCTTTAGTATCGCCAATGACAATCGGGGAAAAAAAATGGCAAATCGTCAACAAAAACGTGTCAAGGATAAATATTATCAAGAATAAATAACAATTAAAAAAAATAAGCCCTTGATTATAATAGTGGAAAAAGAAAGTCTTTTTCTAATTTTCAACACTTAGTACTGTTAAGATAAATTCTTGAAACACTGAATCGCATGTTATGAGTAATGAAATTTATTAAAGGTTAATAAATGCATTTTAAAGCTATTATATGTTACTTTAGTTTTCAATTTTATTATTAAAAGTAGATTAAAAAAATATTTCAAGTTGAAGTAAATCGAATGTACGTGAATCTGAGCCAGTTTCTCTTAAGACATCCTTTTTCTGCTAGCCTATCTACATATTTATTTTCTATTCATAAATACTGTTCTCTCTTTTTAAACGCAGATCTCTATATTTTGTTTGCCCTTTTATACTAATCATTGGACAACAAAAATTAGCTTGTTTTAATAAAGAAAAAAAAAAGCATGTTTTAATTATGAGTTAAATGGTTTTTTGGTTTATTGAGATTACGGCAAAGCACACTAGGGCTATCTGCCTAAGGAAAGGAATGCCTTCATGGAGGACTTTCTAAGGGAAACTGGCTCGTAAAGAAGTTACACATGGGGAAAACCACGAAAACACCCATGCAGCCAGCCTGTTCGCGAGATTGGAACCTCGGACCGAACTACCAGTGTTCAGCAACTTCACCACTCGGCCACTGGTGGGCCAATTATGAGTTAAATGAAATATTTTGAAAAGTACTGTTACTTTTTATTATTCTATGCTTTATACACCACATCATTTTTATATGACAGCTTTACATAGCAATGGTTTAAAAGTTGTGATCATAATATTTATAGTTACCTCAAATTTTTCATTCTGAAACAGTTTTTCAAACAGCAACTCAGTGATGTTTCTTAACACATGAAATTAATTGATTTCTCAGAAAATAAATGTTATTTCTGAAGTGAAGAAGTGTTGTATCTATAGGTTGAAAAATATAGGCAATATGTTTGCAAAATCCTGTTCAGTTTTGGACAGCATTTAAGCAAAATAAATAATTTGTATATGATGCAAACAAAAATGTATTACACTATTACATGTAGTGAATAATTAATCAGGGAACAAAGTATAATGTAAAATTCCTTTATTTTATAACTAGTTATTTTATGTTTGGGATCTTTACTGTCACTTCCCTCGTCTGTTTTCCCACCAGAACGCAAATGAGGTTTTTAGCTTGTAAAACAAAGTGTGTTTTGCCTCTCAAGACTACATTACTAGGTTGCTAGATAAGATAAGATTTGCAGTCTTGCATTATAGTTGCTTATATTTGAATTCCATACCGGTTAAGTTTAGAGCCAACTTTGCATTAAACTGATTTGGGTAGCCTTTGGCTACTAGTTTATTTGAATTTAAATTTTACATTTGAACTTGTTATCATAAGTTATCTTGCCACGAGTGGTTAGCTGAGTCATAAGCCTTTTGTTCTTGTTTAGTTTTAAAATAGGATCTCTTACATGGTTCTCAATTCAGTTGTTACTTTAGACCTAGTTTACATGTACTTTTCATTCACTAGGACATTTTTTTAGAAAGTCTTTTTTTTTTTTTTTTTTTTGGTTTTTGATCTTGTAAAAATCTTTACAAGCTAATCTAATATTAATTTTACATGTCATCAAGCCTTTAACTGTAGATTCCTTCATCAAACCCCTATCATCAGTCCATGCGTTGTTCATCAAAGAAATTACTCTCTCAACTGGTGCTGATGTCCCAGGTAAGCAAAAGACATATTCAACAATCTTGATCAGATTGGAGACTGCTGTGTGATTCTCCTTGAAGTGATCAAACAGCCTGAGACATTTTTCTTCACTTGGAAGTAATCACATCCCTGGTAGACTCTTCTTGCTTCCACAGTTCCCAATTTGACTGCAAATACTTCTTAGCAAGCACAACTTCATCAAACACCTGATCAGTGTTTATTTGCATATTGGGTACATCAAGAAGACTGCTGTTAATCATTTCAGCAGAAGTTTCGGTGTTTTCCCAATTAAGAGCATTTGTTTTGGTCAGATTCACCCAAGAAAACAGTTCAGCATTTCCAAAACTATTCTTCCAGAGGTCCAAGTATGCAATGCATCTTTTATAAAATCCATCAAATTCTTTTTTCACACTGTTACGGACTTGCTCGTCTAGATTCCTGTAGATGTTCTTTGTGCCCATAGGGTTAAAGTTTAAAGCCTTTCTTTCTGTTAGGTTTCTTTTGAGAACTTTATGAGAAATCTCAAAAGCTGTAGCGTTACCTTTTCCCATTACCAGAACGGCCTTGTCAAAGACTGCAAGCTGTCCATGGACAAACCACAAATACAGCCTGCACGTTAAATCAGTAAACAAGTTTTTTATTGTTGATGCGCACATTTCTTGGTCTAAACAAAATGCTTTCAGACCTTCAAAAATCTTGTAAAATTCTTTCCAGCTCAGGCGTGATTGACAGAAACCAGGCGTTGTGTTGAATGAGTTTACGGTACTGTATCTTGGCATATTCATAAAATTATTTTAGGTTAGTTATACTAAATACTTCCACATGTGTATATGTAGAAGTATTTATAAATCTTAACCAGTAAGGCCTCAATATCATTTGGGGGACTATCTAATGCAGTTTGCACACAGTTGTGCACAATGTGTGCTCCACATCTGATTCCACTGATTTTCCATCCTAGCCTATTCTTGAGTTGATAGAAAATATCGTTTTGCCCTGCTCTTTTCAAATCACCGAAGTTTAGTTATCTCCATAAAAGCCCACTACTTTGCTGTGCAACTCGTTTTGCAACAGGACAGAGCATAAGTAATTTGTAAGAATTTCAGATGCTTTCCCCGCCACAAATTTGAAATCTAACAGCTTTACTTGCACACCTGAATTAGGATTAAAGTAGCACACAACAATTGGCACAAGTTTTATAACCTTTATGTTTGATGCATCCATACTTACAGATACATAGTTTAACTTGGTCAAGTCTTCTTTAAGCTCTTCCTGAACTAAAGGAGCTATGGCATTTAAAACTATTACCTCACACTTAGTATTTCTGACTGAGAATTTAGGTTAAAAATCTTAGAAAATAGCTTTGATAAATAAGAATTCGAATTGAAACTTGGGCTATGGTTTGCTGTGTGGTGAGCAAAGGCCGCCACTTTCGCTGTGAAGTTTTTATCATTAGAACTCAGTCTTAAAAAAAGATACATAGTTTAATAGTGGTCAGTTTTGATAAGCTGGCAGCACACGCTAAACGCTTTTTGTGTTTACTCGATTGCAAATGATCTTTGATATCGGATCGACAACCCTGAGCAACAGAAAACTCAGAATTACAATGTCAACATTTAACTCTATCGTCTTTATCTTCATTGCCAATACATAGCTTCTTCAAAAAAAAGGGGAATTCATTTAGTAAATTCCCGATGAATTTACACGACCGTTTTGGCATTTTAACAGAGAAAGAATAAATTTTAATTTAAAACATAAATAAAACAGTGCTAGCTCACTAACACAACAGACACCATCGAAAGAGACTGATTTATCTTATCTCTATCACAAGCGGCTAGCGGCGAGTCCGAAAAGCCTCTCGAATCGCACATGGTCACAATTGGCGACACAAGACAATACGATGACAATATTATTTATTGGCAGATCATCACTCTTCTATAAATTTCACCTTTCATACAGTACAGATAGCTGACAAAGTAATTATCCTAAATAATACTTAACAGTTACTTATTTTTAGACTTTTTTGGTCATCTATAAAATCAAATTTAATTTTTACCGGGACGGGAAGTAAACCGGGATTTTGTCTGAAAACCGGGACGTCTGGCAAGCCTACGTCTAACTAAAGTTTAGTTACACTATATGGCTGCAAAGAATATATCTAAGCTTTATAATAATTACATTTTAAGATGCTGAAATCGGTATTTAAGCAGTTGTCATGTAGTCAAATTTTTTTATATAAATTGAACTCTTACTTTTATTACAACAAATACAGATATCTGCTAGATAAAATGTCTAAGTAATGTAAAAAAATTTGCATAAAATTTAAAATAAAACGTAGACAGTTATATGAACATAGTAATAATAAAAGAAATGATACTCAATGAAGGTTATTCATATACAGCTATTAGACTATGAGATTTACAAGATTTGAGAACTGTAAATGTTACGAAAGCAATAATGAAAATCCGATTTTGCTTTATGATTTCACACTATTACACATTCCTGTATTTCTAATTTAATAAATAAAACAAAAAAGTATTTTTAGACCCTGGTAATTTTTATCATAGCCTATTTTAAGAAACATGTAAGAAGTCTAAATTTGCATGTGGTTCCTTAGCAAAGAATACACCAAGAGTTTACCTCATGCTACTAAAAATCTGAAGTTGAAGGAGTTTATAATCTGCAGAGTTGGCATTTAAAAAAATGTCAAGAATCATGTTATATAATATTAGAAGCATCAGTATTAACTATCAAATTTTGGCTTTTTTAAAAGTTTTGTTTTTATATTGTGCTTTCCTAACACAAAAGTAATTTTAAAAAAAATTTGTAACTTATTCCTCCCGCCATCAAAGCTCTAATACCTACCCACTAGAGCTGGAGCAAACCGCACGTGTTCGTTACCGAGTAACGGGAACATCTGGCTCACTCGAAATACCGATTCGTTACTCCCACATCCATTTCGTTACTTGCATCTGTCATGTGGTTGCTATTGCGGTTTCTATGCGAATACGAATGATGCGGTTGCTGTTCGAATACGAGTTATGCGGTTGCTAACAATACCTGTGCATCACAATGCGCGAATATTTTTTGATTGATAATTTCGAATTTTCCTGGTTAATTCATCGGGTAAACTATTTTATATATTATGTGTTTGTGTTTTAAATGAAATATTATTTAATAAGATGAGCAATTTTGACATCCTGAAGCGTTTTTTTACACTCTTAGACAAAAAAAAGAAAAAAAAAAAAACGACGCACCGAGAAGATATAAAATATAAAAAAAAATTGGACGGACACAAATCACAAATTGATATGCATACAGGTTTCGACGGAAAATGCAAAATTTTACATTTTGGTTGCAAATGAATGAACGTTTGTCGCTACAGCGCATCTGATCAGCTGCGCAACTGGCAGGATATTTAAGAGGAGAAATTATGATTCCAGGTCAAAAATTCTTCACGAATTTCATCCCGAGTACTCAACTATGCCTCGCATACAGGTGCGCAGATGTCTGAATTTGAGAGAGGTCGTGTAGCAGGCTCAAAAAAGCCGGTTGATTTTGTCGGCGAATAGCTCGACATTTGAGGAGCGATGCCACCATTAGACGATGTTGGGAGAAATGGGTGAACCATGGCCGCACGCAGTGTCAAGAAGGAAGCGGTAGGTCTAAAGAAACGACAGAATGTGAAGAGCGAGCAATCGTCAGAGCGGCACTCACAGCCCCAGATGCATCATTATCATCGATTATAAGTGCAACTTGTGCTTCAGTGAGTGCAACGAGCATTCATAGATGGTTCACAGAAAGGGGGATAAGGTCACAGCGCCCCTTGCGTCGACTACCTTTGACCTCTGTACAACGTCAAGCCCGTTTGCAGTAGTGTCGAGCTCATTCGCACTGGAATGTCACTGATTGGAGTAGAATAGTCTTCAGTGATGAGTCCCACTTTGAACTGAGCCCCGATGACCAGCGAAGGCGAGTCTGGAGACGCCCCGGACAGCGGTGGGATACCAACCTGACCGTCTTCTGGCAGACAGGACGACAACCAGGAATGATGGTCTGGGGTGCCATTTCATTTCATACTAGGACCCCTTTGGTTGTGATCCGTCGCATCCTTACAGCACAGCGGTAAGTCGACGAAGTTCTAAGGCCCGTTCTGTTGCCCTTCATGTCTCGCCACCCTGGGCTTACATTTCAGCAAGATAATGCCCGCCCCCACACTGCATATGCTTCTACTGCTTGCTATAGTGCCTGCCGAACATTACCTTGGCCAACAGGGTCGCCGGATCTCTCTCCTAATGAGCACGTTTCAGAGCATTATGGGCTGGGCCCTCCAACCAGCTCAGGATGTTGACGATCTAACCTGCCAGTTGGACAGAATGTGGAACGATATCCCCCAGGAGGTCATCCGCAACCTCTATCAATCGATGCCAAGCTGAATAACTGCTCTTATGAGAGCCAGAGGTGGACAAACGCGTTACTGACTTTTTCACTTTGTGAAGCTCTATCACTTCAGTAAATCATACAATTTTTCTCAAACTGTAATCATTTGTTTTTCTGTACATGTACATCACTTCTACCGACTTTCGTCCGATTCGGATAACTCCTTCTTGGTGCGTCGTTTTTTTTTTTTTTTTTTTTTTTTTTTTGTCTAAGAGTGTATTTGCTTTGGCTTACATTAAGATTTATAGTGCCTATTATGTTTATTATGTTTGTAATTTGAAAATTTGGATAATTTAGATGATTATTGATTTTCTCCATTGTGAGATTTTATTGAGTTGAAATATTTATATACTGCAGTTAGAATATGTAGATTACTTAAGTTCTTTACTAACTTGTACGAAGATACGATGAAAAAAAATACATAAAAAATAAAAAAGTTAAATAAAAAATCTGAAAGGTTTTAGGTTTTAATTAACGTCCAAAGGGGCGTTTTTTTTAACGATTTGCGTGTTACCTTTACTTATTAAATATCATGTTCTACGTATTCAAACTATAAAATTCAGTTCAAAAGCAATATCGCAAAATAATTTTAAAATGAGCATATCTTTAGAATTTCCGATACAGTCTTTCGCGCCGGAGATAAAAATGTTTCTTTTCGTACAATGTTGCTATTGCTCCCTTTGAAATTGTTTATTTTGTTAATTCGTTGAAGTCTTACAAAATATGAATTAGATAATAAAACAATGCCCAAATTCCAGTGGGTACCTCCCCCCGAAATATTGGATAATGAAATTGCAGATGCAACAGCCAAAAGAGCAGCAACTGACCCCCACGTTCGCGCACTTGATGTGCCTCTCCCGGGTTCGTTCTTAAAAGCTAAGCTCGAAAGAGAGTTATTGAAGTGATGGCAACATCTGTGGGAGACAGAGACTAATGGCAGAAGAGTTTACATATTTTCCCCAAAGTCTGTTGGCTTCTAAGAAGTGGCTCGCCTCACTTTCCCCAGTTTCTAACAGGGAATGGTCCTTCATGACTTACCTGCACCGCTTCAGACGACGCGAAAACGATCGGTGCTCATACGGAATGGCAGGAGATTCGGACCACCATGTGTTCATTTGCAGAGAGCTGCAGAACATTATCTTAGACAGCCAGGAGCGGACCATATCCTTGCATCGGCCGTAGCTATTTCGAAAAATCGCTATGCATTGAAACGCATGTGTGATTGAGTTAATATTCAACAGCTCAGACAGGCTGGAGTAATTTTCAGCTGCTATCCTCGTCACCAGCACAGCCCCCTTATATTCTGTACTCGTAGTTAATTTATTTAGTTTAAGTTAGCTTTTTTTGTTCTTTTCCGTTTAATACTTATTTCCCTATATTGTGAACCTTGAATTATGTACTCTGCCTTAATTTATGTTAATTTTAAAAAACATTTTATCAATCACTCTGTTAATTGCTCATATTCATAATTAATGCACTATTCAGCTGACTATAAAATACAGGTATAACTGACTATAACTCAGTTATACCTGTATTTTAACTATCCATAGTACTCATGTTGTGGATGCCTATTGACAGCACTTATGCTATAACCATCTGTGAATAACTCTGTAAATGTGAAACTTAAATTCTTCTCCTCACCCACATTGCACCGGCATGTGTTGGCACACCCCAGCACTCGTTTTGAGCACAATATGCACCAATGTGTGTAATGTGGATCAAATTATTTGCGTCAGCGGGGTTACCTGGCCGATATGCTAACTGCCCAGAGGATCGGGTGCCCCGCTGTCGTTGGAAAGAAAGAAAGAAAGTCCATTTATTGAGAACGTTAACAAAAGAAAGAGCAAGAAGCTTATTTTCCTTTAGGTTTTAATTTTGCGACTGTTACAGCGCACGCATTTGCCAAGTATTTAAACTGGATTTTTACCTGATGCAATTTTGATATATACTAGTAAGTTGCCTGCAATTTTTTATTTAATTTACATAATATGTATATATTCTACACATTCAGAACATATTTTCGTTGAAATGTTCTTATGAAATGTATATCCCATAATTAATTACACATAGGATCTCTGTAAATAACAGCGAGTTCTTATCACATCAATATTTTAATCTCCCGTGATTAACAGAAAGAAACTACCCGACTTTTGTTTCTTTGAAAACATGGTTTGATATCTTCAAAAGCATGAAGAAATTTTTATCACGACTCACAGTCGTGATAAAAGATTTTATAAGATTTTAAAGTTATTAATACCGCTGCCTCTTCATTCTCAAAATATTGTTGAAATGACAGTTCTTGCTTTCTTAGAAGGTATTATGTAGGTTCATTGATTTAAGACTGATTTATTTTATTTCTTTTTCTTTTTATTTAAATTTAGAAAAAGATTACTCTGCGGTTTTGTACTGTTTTTTAGTTGCAAATCTTCACATTAAATTACACTTTTTACAAACAGTTCAAAAGCTTGATCCAAATGATTTGTCCTTTTTTCAGGTACTGAAGCTTTTTTGTTTATCACTTTCTTCTCTAATTGTCTTATCACCCTTTTCCTCACAGTTGCTTTTCAGCGTTAAAATTATCCAGAAACCAAATCGTGTTAAATGTGGACAATTTGGTTGGTATTCAAGTACTGTTCAACCAGTTTCTCGTTCTGACCAGTTTCAGGTGAGGCTGCTAACCCACAGCTGCAACATGTGGAAATACATTGTCCTGAAGAAAAAGACCCACTTTCTTGAGAAAATAAACTCTTTTAATTCTTCGTGGTTGCATATAAATAGGTTTTCAGGAGGTTTGCATAAAACAATTTGTCGACACATTAGGTTTATGGAAGCAGGAGACAGGAAATATGTGCAGTGCATCACCAGGATTCGAACTCCAGACCTTCAGATTGCTAGAACATGCTTTTACCAATTACACGATGAAGGCACGCGGCAAGGAAGGAGAAAATGCCTTACATTCTTAGCGACGAATTATCTCCCACCATCTTTTAGTTCGGGCAGTAGAAAATAGAGCTGCAAGCACCGCTGACAAAAGCTCTGTATTTAAAATTCTTCGCTTAAATACTCTTTAACCACATTAGCAACCTGGTGAGAGCTGACGAAAAGCAGAAGCTACAGCAAAACTTTAATTCATAAAAATTGGTTAATTACCGTATATGCTCGTGTATTGTCCACGCTCAAGTACTGTCCGCACCCCAACTTTAAAGATAAAATTTATGTAAAAAGAAAGTGAGCACAAGAATTACGTTAAAATATATTTTTTATAACATCGCCCTTTTTCCCTTTAGTCAATAACATTAGTCAATAAACATCTTTAAAGAAAGAATATGCATTTGTTTTGTCTTTGTTTGGCGCCAGGATGGAAAGCAGAGACTTTCTTTGCGCAGCTGTTATTCAGTCATAATAC